GAGCTAGAGTGCTCTTCTTCGAACTTGATCTGTCTTTTTATGACTCAAAACGACCCTGAAAATCCTAGGTCGCTAGCTCAATTCGTTCTCGAGTTATCGTGATGACAGACAGACACACAGACACACAGACAGACAGACAGACGCGAAACTTTTTGATCACTGGAGTAATAGGCTTCGCTAATCGCTCAGCCAACAAACGAATGTAACGAAACTTCATTCCACGAGCTGCGCGCGTCGGCCAGCGGCAGCAGCACGGGCGGAGGACTCTGTTACAGGTTAGGTAGGTCGGCTCACCGCCACCACCAGCTTATGAATAGTGGCAGTCTGTTTCGCTAGTAAAATCATCTGGTTGGAGGGGCTAGACGTAAAGAAACGTCGATCTTTGGCATGTGCACTATGTTCCGACTATGAAAGTAAGTAAAAGTCAGACATTCGGTAGAAAAAAAAAATCTGGAACGACGACAGATCTAATTCCGAGGACTCGTTTCTAATAGTTTTGAATTTCATGTGATCACATAACCTTTAAAGCAACAGTCTCGGTTACTGGATGCGATTTGTTTTTCATTCTAATTTCCTAATTTCCAAATTTTCACCTTTTTGATTAGTTCAATAGTCTAATCTGATATGAGAAAGCGATGATTCTTTTCTCCGTGCATGTGCATTTTTAAACAGTAAAGTTATGAATTTCTATGGAAGTTGAGATGGTTTCCGCCCAACAGTGCTTTGCGTACAAGAATGGGGTTTCCAAGGAATTTCCCATTGCCACCGCTCAGTGGAATGCGTTTCCTCCATGGAAGCAGTCTCCTTGGAACATGTGTTCCGTGAGACATTACGAATCTCCGGTAAAGGAACATCCGCGGAAAGTGATTCCGAGGGCAACTAGAATTTTCCATGGGATACAAAAACATTCTGAGGAAAACGAATATTAACCAGGTAACGTCGAGAATTTCCACGGGATCGTCATTTCCGGCGGAAAAATAAGAAAACCCGTAGATAATCGGGAATTTCCACCGGAAAGTGCCAAATTTCCGGCGGGATTTTCAGCTGGGTATCTGTGCAGATGCATTAAAGTACATCATGATTTATGACTTTTCCAGTGATTGGTCCTGCGAATTTGAAATCACATCTACCCTGACACTCATGGGAGCAGAGAAAGAGCTCATGTCTGCCTGGAAGGCTGGCAACACCAGTGGCATCGATTTGGCCCCTGCGACATTCGAAACCTCGCCTCCACCCTGGGTTCTGTTCGGCTGGAGCAGAACAACGTGGTGAACCTGCCCCAGGGTGTTGTGGCGAGAGTGCCCCAAAATACAGAGACACGATAAGGATTACGAATGGTCTGCAGTGTCCCTTCGAAACCTGCTCCAAGAAAATCATGTACTATGGTGAAGGTGCGAAAACCTCTCTAATTAACCACATCAACGAAATACATAAATCAGACGCTGCAAATCTCTTAATTATAGTGGAGAGGGGTTTTCAGAAGAAAGAGACAACATGTGGTGGCAATAAATTCGAGTGCTTCCACTGTGGTCAGACTCTCACTGGAGCGAGGAAACGGAAGGCGTCGCACGAAGCAACCTGTGCCAAGAAGTCGAAGAAACAATGAGTGCCATGGTGGAATATTGTTGAAATCTGTTGAAATCTGTGATAGCAGATAGGCTTCATGTTTTTAAGTAATGGTTCCACATCCATCATTGGTTCCTGATACAAAACCAATGGAGTCATTAGGTGTGAGGTGTTCATTGTTTTTGCTCAGATAGAATACTGTTCCTGAAGTTCCGTCCTGTTGGAATGTCATCTTGAGAGAATACGTGTCTTTGCTCCACTTCAGTCTGTAATGATCAGCTCTTATTTTGGACTTTGCTTTTCTTTATTTATTTATTTATTTATTTATTTATTTTTTATTTCTTTTTCGTGGAATCAACAGTGTCTCCAAGATGTCTCTGAAGTGTCTCTGCGGTGGCTGCGGGATGGCACCGCAGTGTCCTCGCGTTGGCTCCACGGTGTCTCTGCGGTGGCTCCGCGGCGGCTCCATGGTGACTCCGCGATGGCTCCGCGGGTGGCTCCGCGGTAGCTCGGCGGTAGCTCCGCGGTGGCTCCGCGCGGATTCCGCAGGGGCTTCGCACGGGCACCAGGCTCGCTTGACGATGGCTTTAGAATGTCTCTTTCTGGCCTTAAAGTAGCTATCCTGTAGCCATTTCATGCGACAGGAGAATGGCTCAGCAATGGCTGGGGATTTTTTCTCATTTTTTTGAGAATATTCCTCAAAATCTGAGGCGAGATCGGAGGACTCTTCCTCAAAGATTCTAGCTCCTCAAAGTTTTCCCTTTTCCCTCAAAAAATAAGATTTTGCTTTTACCGTGCGTGTATCTTCCTATGGTGTGTTCCGCAACCTTTTAAAAATTACATGAAATAACGTGATAAAGCCTGGAACGCGTGGGCTTTACTCTAACAGTAAAAAAGGACAGTTTTGTCTTCTTCCCTTTGGAGTAAGCTCCAAAGCGAGGCCTTTCCTAATTCGACACCTCCTACGTACAAGCAGCTATCTTCTTGAGCAGTGCAGACATGCAGCTATCTTCTTGAGCTGTGCAGACAAGCAGTAGGCCATCTCATTTTGGTAGTCGAAGTCGGCGATTTCGGAGGTACGCACATTTAATGATAGATTAGACCTAGTAGAGACCCTGTGTAAAGTTTGAGCCCTGTGCGATAACGTGTACCCGACCCGCATCGCGATTTTCCGAGCGGGCTCGAAATTGGTGCGCGGTGACCCGACACCTTGTCGGCTCTGCCGTGCTGACACGGTGGGGTCAAAGGTGACGGCTCGGGTCTGAAGTATGACCCTATGGGTCCTACCTCACATCCGACATGGCGATTCCGATCTCGCGACTGACCGGGCGTCTCCAGGGGCCCAAACGTCGCGGGCCGCGCGGGTCGCTCCTGGCAGCCGAAATTGGCAAAATCAAACGTAATGTTTTTGCCAATACGTAGGCCGTACCGTGCCCTATCCAAAACTATGTAGCGTGCCAGGTAGCGGTGACGCGATCACTGGAAAAATTAAATAATGTCAAAAACGCCTGCGTACTAGGCTACCATGCGCTACAGGCGTGTAGTGCGGGCAGTCTATGTGACGTCACCACAGGCGCAAATACCTGTTTTTTAAACTTTTTCCAGTGATCGCGTCACCGCTACCTGGCACGCTACATAGTTTTGGATAGGGCACGGTACGGCCTACATATTGGCAAACACAATATGTTTGATTTTGCCAATTTCGGCTGCCAGGAGCGACCCGCGTGGCCCGCGACGTTTGGGCCCCTGGAGACGCCCGGTCAGTCGCGAGCTCGGATTCACCATGTCGGATGTGAAGTAGGACCCATAGGGTCATACTTCAGACCCGAGCCGTCACCTTTGACCCCACCGTGTCAACACGGCAGAGCCGACAAGGTGTCAGGTCACCGCGCGCCAATTTCGAGCCCGCTCGGAAAATCGCGATGCGGGTCGGGTAAACGTTATCGCACAGGGCTCAAACTTTACACAGGGTCTCTGCTAGGTCTAATCTATCGCTAGACGTGCGTACCTCGAAAATTTTTTTCCGGTGAGATGGCCTAACAAGCAGCTAACTGCTTTTTCCACCTCGCGACTTTGGGTATTCATATTTTCGGTATTTTCGATGTTCCTAACTTGTAACTGACAGAAGTTATTGGACGGAGAATAGGTTAACCCTGACCTCAAAAAACAGATAGCTGTTTGTCCGCCACCCTCCAGCAGATAGCTGCTTGTCTGCACAGCTCAAGAAGATAGCTGCTTGTGCGTAGGAGGTGTCGAATTCTGCACGTTCAGGTCTGTGAGCACTGAGCAAGCAGAAAGCAGGGATGTAAAGGAATCTTTGGCGTTAGGTGAACGGGAAATTTGATTTGAGACAACACAACACCAACGCCCAACAGGGGGCGACCGTTTGACAATCAAGGGCATTTCATTTAGGAACATTTTTATCTGTAGGCACTCTATCTAGGCGGTCAGATTAAACCCTCCGTTGTTGCAGGTGGAACTTAAGGATATTCTCATCCGCTATAGCACGGATGTGATCGGCTCTGTGGCGTTCGGCATCGATTGCAACACGGTCAAGGGCGGCAACAACGACTTTCTCAACATGTCGCGAAGGATGTTCCGCCGCAACTTCGTATTCCTTCTGCGCTTCTTCCTCATCTCTATTCACCCCGTGTTCGCCAAGCTGTTGCCCTTTAGGAAAATTTTCAAAGATATGACTGAGTTCTTCCTAAGACTTATGTCAGACACAGTCAATTATCGCGAGGAAAACAAAGTGGAGCGCAATGACTTTGTCCAAATCATGATGCAGCTTCGCGAGGAGGACCGAAACCGGAGTACACTGGACCGCGCTAGCCACGTCGAACTGAACAACGACACTATGGCAGCGCAGGCTTTTCTTTTCTTCGTAGCCGGCCTTGACAATGTCGCCAATACTATACGGTGAGTTTTGAATAATATAAGTTTTTAACAAAGAAGAGGAAAGACACACAGCAATGTGAGCCTACTTCGATACCTACAAGGAACACACACGTACTTTTGAGGCCCGAGGATAGACTCACGTAGTTCCGAGCTGCGATTTCAAACTCACGTACGTCTGGATCCCGAGGACAAACTCACGTAGTTCCTATCTTATAACCAAGAACTACGTGAGTCTTTCCAAAGGGGTCCAGAAGTACGTGAGTTTGAAATCGTAGTTCGGAAGTACGTGAGTCTGTTCTCGGGTCCCAGAACTGCGTGTGTCTTCCTTGTAGTTATCGACTTTCGGTTAATTTTTACAAGATACTTTGGGCCCGAAAATTTGTGCCGTGGATATTACCGCTTTCCCCATTGCAGAGCACGCTCGGCGCTCTGGCGCTGGCGAAACTACGCAACTTCGCGGAGCCTCCGTCAAAGCACGCACAGCGATCCAGCGCTGGCGAAACCACGCAACTCGGTTTTTGGGGTGTTTTTTGAGACCTATACCGTTGGAAAGAGGACGTTTCCCTCTACCAGAATATACTATTATCTCAAAATTTTCGAAAAACATCGATGCGTGGTTTTGCCAGAGCCTCAGAACTTCGCGTGGTTTCGCCAGCGCCGGACCGCTGTGCGTGCTTTGACGGAGGGGTCCATGGAGTTGCGTGCTTTGCAATAAGGACAAGCGATACATAATATATAGTAAATTAATAACATATTTTTGGACTAAATTTTCATCCTTTTTCTGTGATGTGACTGTTAAAAAATATACAGGCTCCGTTTGAGCCAAAATATTGGGCTATGCACCGATTTCGTCCAAAATTGGCATTGGCTTGGCCCTTTATGCTCTGAAAACTCAACAGTGTACATTATTGTATGCCGATAAATTAGCATGGCACGATTGGCATGATTGCTGATATATCAGCAATCATCAATCATTACGTTTAGGTTTTTTAGGTAATATTTCCTTTCAGACGGATATCATCGGTGTGTGGGATTTGGGAGTTCCAAATTTCTCGTGAAAAGAGCTTTCAAACGAGCTGCTATGTTATAGGGTTTACTACCGAAATGGCCCGCCTCTCGAAAATTTAGGTAATGTTAGCTGAGTTATAGTAGTGGTAAATTTGAACCATATCACATGATAGTAGTTCGTTTGAAATTTTTGTTTACGGGGAATCTGAAAATTTTATCCACTATCCGATGATATCCGTCTGAAAGGAAATATCAGCCATGTTGGACTCTGCTAAAAGATAACAGCTGGCGGCAACCGCCGAAAGTAACGTCAGACTTTGACCGCGAGGCGCGTATGGTTGGTTACGAGGATCGCAAAAGCCCCGGACAACGACCATTATCCTTATAGGATTGACTATATTTCCATTCCAAATGCGTTCCGACATGATCGAACTCCTAACCCCCCATAATGAAATGGCCTCGTGTTCTGCCTCTTTCAGATCGGATTTGCACTCCACGAACTTGCTATGAACCATGCCTTGCAGCGGCGCGCAGCAGCTGAAGTACAAGAGAAGACTAAAATGCACGGAGGTCTTACCTATGAGGCTGTTAGGGATATGGAATTGATTGAGAGAATATTGAGGGAGTCGCTGCGGAAGTACCCGCCAGTGGGAATCTTGACGCGCCAGCCCAGCGAGCCGATTAAGGTAAGCTAGCTCTATACATACGACGCGCACTTTGAACTAGTGCTAGTGCATCGGTATCTGCTGAGAACAAGCAGGCCCGCCGCCCGCTCTTTCCGCCAAACGGAGTTGCCAGCTCCGCTTCGCTGCGCCAGCAACCCCGTTCGGCAGGAGCCGGGGGCCGGGCCTGGCTGGCCTGCCGGCGGCGATGCGGTCGGGCCTGCAGCCCGACCATTTCAGTCACGCGAATTACTGAAGAACATAATCAAATAATGTGACCTGTAAGTCACTTTGCATTTTTGAGTAAACTCTAGGCTTCCGACGGCGGGCCTGCAGCCCCCCTGATGGAACTCTCTGGATAAGATCAGGATAGGCCGCTATCCAGGATCTGTCCAATTTGTCTCATTTTGGACAGATCCTGGATAGACACGTCTTGTCCAAATGGCATCCAGTAGGCATCTTATCTGTCCTCAAGGCAATCCAAGACACGTCCGTGCGTACCCTGGGTGTCTCCAGGATTATCTTAGGATTATACGGGTGCGTCCAGGGTGCGTCCGGTCGTATCCGAGACGCGCCCAGCCGTGTCCGAGAAGCGTATTAACATATCCAGGATTAGTCTGCGTGAGTCAGGGAAAAGTCAAGGATGGGTTCGGGCCTGTCCAAAGCTCGTCCGTTTGATCCAGAACGTATCCGTACGTGTCGGAACGTATCCAGGACGCGTCTGCACGTATCGCTAACGTATCCAGGCGACGTCGGAATGTATCCAAACGTATCGGGGACGTGTCCTCACACTTATCCGCAATCCACAATGCGCCCGGACGCGTCTGGATGTATCTGATCATATCCAGGATATGTCCAATCGTATCCGTTCACGTCCGGGACGAGTCCGGATGAGTCCGATCATATCCAAAATGCGTCCAGCAGATTGTCCGGTCCCATCCACGACGCATCCGACTGAATCCAAATGCATACGGATGCACCCGATCAAATCCAGGACGGTCCCAGATGTATCCGTATCCGATCATATCCAGAACGCGTCCAGATTCATCCGATCATATCCAGAAAGCGTCCGAATACATACTGTACTATCAGGGAAGCGTCCGGAAGTATCCGATATTATCCAGAACGCCTCCGTATGCATCCAATCATATCCATGACGCGTCCGGATGTATTCTGTCCCATCCAGGACGCGTCCGGATGTATCCAAACATATCCAGGACGTGTCTGGATGTATCATGTCCCATCCCGGATGCGTCCGGATCTATGCGCATCCGATTATATCCAGGACGCATCGTAATCCTATCCACGACGCGTCCAGGTGTATCCTTCCCTATCCACGACGCGTCCGGATGTATCCTGTCCTATCTAGGACGCTTCCGAATGTGTCCGATTCAAATCACATCCGAAACACGTCTGGGTGTATCCGATCTCATCCGGGACTTGTCCGGATGTATCCGATCATATCCAGGACGTGTCCGGATGTATCATATACAATTCCGGACGCGTCCGGATGTATCCACATATAATTATATCCAGGACGCATCTGGATGTATCAGATCTTATCCAGGACGCGTCCGGATATATCCTGTCCCATCCAGGACGCGTCCGGATGTATCATGTCCCATCCCGGACGCGTCC